CATTAACACACACACACACACACACACACACACACACACACACACACACACACTTTTGGACAAGCTGCCTTCACAAGACTCACAGAGTGAGTAATGATGCGTCACGAAGGCACCGGATCGATCGATCTAAAATTACGAATTTCTACAATGCACACTCCCCACGGAAATTCAACATGGCTGCCTCCTGACCATCATCGTTGTTAGGGCAACATTTTATGTTGCGGTTTCTTTTTTTTTTCCCCACCAAAGTCATAGTGGATTTTTTATTGTAGAAGTTGTGACGTCTTCTCAAAAACTGTGGTCGAAGTGTATGTTGTGAGTAGATTGTCTGACATTACCATGGAAAGGTTCTCTTAACCCAGTCGTCACCTCCCATAGCCTACTCATCAAGACGGAAACCGATAGTCGATAGGATCTAGAATCTAGATCTAGATCTAGACAGATCCAAATCTAGATATATTAGAATCTAGATCTAGAAATCTAGATCTAAATCTAAAACTAGATTCAAGATTCTAGATCTAGGCTAGAATCTAGACGAGACAAGTCTACAGCTACATTTTGCTACAAAATTACAAATTTTAAAAAGGCAAGCGCTATTTGCAATGCCGCGTTCTGAATAGCTCCCGTGCTATTTGAAACGCCAGTACTAGATTTTTACATCTAGAATCTAGATCTAGATGTAGTAGCCTTCGTTGCTACATGATAATATTGTAGTTTTGCCTGAATTGTGGAAGCTTTCTCAGTTTTTTTATAAAACCTCCTAGGATTTGACTCCTTTTTTTATGACGTTGTCTTAATTCCGATCAATATTGGGTAGATCTAGATAAATCTAGATTAGATCTAACAATTGTTTCTGACATTGTTTGCACAAAAGTAGATGTCTTGTTCATCTCTCATAATCATAATCATCTGAGTTAGAGGGGTTTTTTTTGGAGCAAGTTTAAGTCGAAAGACGCTTGGATAACAATAACAAGACGGTGCAACTCGAACTGTAAGTTAGGCCTAGAGAACGTATACAAGCTGTCTACTGTCTACGTTCTCTAAGTCTAATGTTCAGTGCTTCCAAGCGTGGCATCGAATCCCGGTCCCGAAAGTTGTTTTTTTTCCTTCTCCTGAGCCTAAAATTAAAAAATTAAAAAATAAGATTCACAGACCAAGGAAAGCCACTATTGAACTTTAACCAGGCCTAAATTGGTAAAAGGAAAAGTATGGGCTATACTAAGGCCTACTTTGTACAGAGCTCCTCTTGGGGACAAAACCAGAATGTGCATGCTTCATCACTACATTAAAAAACTACTAAGCGACAAGATATAATTATGGGAACAATTTGTTGGTCAGTCGAAAAGAGGACAACAACAACAACAACAACAAAACGGGAAAAAAACCCAATGGTCCAGGACCGGGATCGAACCCACGCTAAAAAAAATAATGGTTTGACCTCAAGCGCAGACGCGCTGTCACTTCGCCCATCAGAACTTCTGATAACGATGTGCAGATTAAGCTTGATATTTTACACACGGCGACACAGCGTTTTATTTAGCACTGGCGCTAATCGCAACGCGGCATTGCAAATAGCAAATAGGCACTTCCTTTAAAACAGGCAGGCGCTATTTGCAGCGCCGCGTTCTGAATGGCTCCCGTGCTTTTTGAAACGCCACGTTCCGAATGGCTCCCGTGCTTTTTGAAACGCCACGTTCCGAATGGCTCCCGTGCTTTTTGAAACGCCACGTTCCGAATAGCTCCCTTGCTATTTGAAACGCCAGTATTAGATCTAGATCTAGTATCCATCGTTTCTACGTAAAAATATTGTTGTTCTGCCTGAATTGTGGAAGCTTTCTTAGTTTCTTGATATGTACGGCTACATTAAGTACGGCTAGACTCTCAGGCTAGCCGTACTTAGATCTAGGTTTGGCCCCATCGACTCAAGCCTGTTGAGTACACAGGTCTCATTAGATCTAGATCTAGTAATTAGGTTTAAGATACATGCAAGTCAGTAAGGCACCTTTTTGTTCTGTCTGAAATACAAATACTTTAGGCATTGTAAACTAAAAATTTCATTTACAATTCAGCCATCAATAATGATGGCTAGCCTGCCAGTCTAGCCGTCCTTATGTAAGGCCCTATTAACATTAGAAAGCAGGTCTCATTAGTAGCCTAAATATTCAGGTTTAAAATACATGCACTAACATTAAGGCACCTGGTTTCGTTTCAAATACGAATACTTTAGGTACTGCAAACTAAACATTGATTTACAATTCATTAGGCCCTTTTTTTTGTCAGTTTAGCCATCTTATTAAAAATAAGTACGGCTAACCCAGCTGTCTACGGCTAGCCAACCAGTCTAGCCGAACTTACCCTAGCAGTCTAGCCGTCATTAAGTACGGCTAACCTCTTCCTTCTTGATAAACCTTCTCGGATGTGACTCCTTTTTTTTTAATGACGTTGTCTTATTCAGATCAATATTGGGTAGATCTAGATTAGATGTAACAATTGTTTCTGACATTGTTTGCAGAAAAATAGACCAGACGTAGAACTAGGTAGCCTATCTAGTCTAGTCCATCTCTCATATCATAATCATTTTGAGTTTGAGCAAGTAAGGAGAAAGACGCTTGGATAACAATAACAAGACGGTGCAACTCGGTATTTATAAGCAGTAGTTTCTGTCCGCAGTGTTTTCATACAATAGATCTAGATCTAGATCTCCCTAAAAATATTATCTCTAAGTTAGCCTTCCAAGTCTAATGTTCAGTGCTTCCAAGCGTGGCATCGAATCCCGGTCCCGGAAGGTTTTTTTTTTCTTTTTCTGAAATTAAAAAAAAATAAAAATAGACTCACAGACCAAGAAAGCCACTATTGAACTTCAACCAGGCCTAAAATTCCTAAATTTTTAAAAGGAAAAGTATGGGCTATACTAAGGCCTACTTTGTACAGAGCTCCTCTTGGGGACAAAACCAGAACGTGCATGCTTCATCACTACATTAAAAAAAACTACAAAGCAACAAGATATAATTGTGGGAACAATTTGTTGGTCAGTCGAAAAGAGGACAATAACAACACCCAAAAAACCCAAAAACTTCCAGGACCAGGATTCGAACCCACGCTCATAAAATAATGGTTTGGCTTCAAGCGCAGACGCGCTGTCCATTCGGCCATCAGAACTTTCGTCAACGAAGCATAGATTAAGCTTTATAATTTTACAAACGGCTACACAGCGTTTTATTTTGCACTGGCGCTAATCGCAACACAGCGTTGTAAATAGGCACTTCCTTTAAAAATTGCTATTTAATGTGTTACCTTAACCTGCTCTTGTCTGTTGGTCTCTGAAGAAAAATGTTGTGTAAATATTTTCAAGAGATCTTTTTCCCCCCACAGCATTTGATAAATCTAGGAGTAGGGGCAATTGTTTACTTTCTCGCGTTTAATTCTGGTCGCGCTTAGATCTAGATCTAGACGATACTCTATGCATCCTGGTGCCGGGCCTTCCAAAATTTTCTTCTAAGCCTAGACTGTATAGGCTCAGATTTTCAAAGTAAAAGAAGCCACATTACGACATTTTTGCTAAGGTATCTAGAATAATAGGCCTAAGTAACATGCACATCTCATGAATTTGATGAAGCATAAGAAAATGCGTGAAAAAAAGATTGCACCCCACCCTAAACCCATTTTGTACTTGGCTTTCAATATGGTGCAGCGTCACTGAAAATATTATATCATGGGCCAAATAGATGAAAACAGAGGAAGGAAAAGTTGAGAAGAGAAAAATCGGGTAAATTTCCCTATTAGTATTAGTGTACTTCATAGCCTTTTTCAAAGTGGGTCTGCCGCTGCCTATTAAAATTGATGTATGATCTTCTGATCCTAAGTACAGCCAGGATAGGACCATGTTCCTTTATCTTTGTCAAATGTAATGTTGCAGACAACCATGACAAAACTCATTCTCAGCCGTCTCTCTTACAAGAATTAGACTTACAAGCACAAGGCGTCAAGGCATGAAAGCTCTACCTTAAAATTCAGAGAGTTGTGAAATGTCTGTTACTGTTACGATGGATGTGTGTCAAATTCAGAGAGTTGTGAAATGTCTGTTACGATGGATGTGTGTCAAATTCAGAGAGTTGTGAAATGTTTGTTACGATGGATGTGTGTCAAATTCAGAGAGTTAGTTGTGAAATGTTTGTTACGATGGATGTGTGTCAGTCCAAGGTTTGAGAACTGCCCATATGTTTTTATTGACAAGGCTGAGGATAGTTTGGCAAGTGGAAAAATATTTCAAAATTTCGTTGTGCTGCTGCACTTGCACTACGTCCTTTTATTTGTTTATTTTGGTCTTTTTTTGTGTTTGTCATCTCGGTTTTCCTTTTATTGTTCTGGCTTTTTTTTGTGTTTGTCATCTCGGTTTTCCTTTTATTGTTCTGGCTTTTTTTTGTGTTTGTCATCTCGGTTTTCCTTTTATTGTTCTGGCTTTTTTTTGTCGTCTTGCTTGAAATTAAAAAAATATTTCCTTGTTCTTTCATTAGCTGAAATGAGATCAATTTAGGGTCTGAGAGCCATGTTTTGTCAACTGTTGTTAAAGTAGTTGTTGAGGTTGTGTTGTTGTAGACAGTGCAGATAGCTGTCTTGATTTGTTCTCTCCAGGTCCCGGTGACGTAGAGAATGGGTTAAACCAAACTTTGGATGCTGAGTGGGTGACATTATATCCTGGCATCTGCAACCATGACGACGACTGCAGAAGATCTGCTCCAGGTCAACCAAGTGGTCAAGGACCGCTTCAAAGTTGTGAGTGCTGGAAACTTTAGTTGTTTGTTTGGATTATCCTCGTGACTCTTGTGCCAGAACCGCTTTGTTGAATGGGGAGCACATTCTTTACATGGACTTATTGTTACTTTGTGTCTGTTCTTGGCCGTGGGTGGTTGGCGGGTGCTCTGGTATGGTTTGCTTCTTCTTTCCTATCAAACATCTATCGTCTTTATCTCCCCTCCTTTTTTGTGTTTGTTACTCTCTTGTAACACTTCTAATCTTCGACACTTATATGACCTTATTGTGTTGCAAGTGCCGTAAAACTCTTACAAAAACTAAAACTAAAACTGTTCTTAGCCTTTATCATTTTTTGGGGTTTTTTTTGTTTTACACAGTTAAAAACTGAAAGTGCACATCGTATTACCGGAAATTTCCGGCTGCCACAGAGGGTCGTTTGTCAACATGCTGGTGTGGGTGGGGGGTGTGTGCTACTGAAAATGACCATTTACGGCTCAACAGATGATTAAAGGAATATAAAACCCAGTCTTTTCTGAAAACTGTTTGAACGAGACGTTAGAAAATGACAAGCGATCAAAGATTTGCAAACAAAGCAGCAACTGTGACGGAGTCAACAATGTAGCAGAACAACACATCAGACAAAACTGTTCACACATTACATGTAGTCACTGTATAGATTGATATCTTTATAACTGGCTTACAATTTTCTATGTAATTTACCATTTAAGGAACAACGAAATTTTCCATTAAAGAAGTTCATGGATCTGTGCCCTTTATATAAGGAGGGAAAATAGTTTCAATCTTGTTATTCATAAATAATAATGATTTCTTAGAAGAATTCACATGGGGATTTAGGTTCTGTTGGGGGGGGGGGGGGTATTAGTAGCTCTGTGGAATGTGTTGTCGACAGGGGCCATCGGTGAGTTCACCCACATCAGATCAGAGAATATCTTTGTCAAGATTTCTTCATCATCCTGAAATGCAATTTCACTGTTTTTCTTTCCTGGTGTTGTTTTTGTCTGTGTCCCTTGAACCTTGCACTAAATGACAGTTATTGTAGTGACGGGCTTGTCTGAGACGTGGTGAGTGCCTGTGGGTTCTGCTGATGCTAAATGACAGTTATTGTAGTGACGGGCTTGTCTGAGACGTGGTGAGTGCCTGTGAGTTCTGCTGATGCTGGTTGTGGAGCTTTGCTCGGTTGATGAAGAACATTTTTTTTCTCTTTTCAGGTGAAAAAAATTGGCGGGGGTGGCTTCGGTGAGATTTATGAAGCCACTGATCTAATCAGTCGAGAATTGGTAGCGCTGAAATTGGAGTCAGCTCGACAAGTGAAGCAAGTGTTGAAGATGGAGGTGGCAGTATTGAAAAAGTTGCAAGGTACATGTGTATAATAGCATATTTGTTGTTATGTGTGTGTGTGATTGGGGGGGGGGGTGGTGTTCACCCTTTCATTTCAGTAACTTTAGTAGTGTTGAGCTCTGAGGGGGCAGAGGCTAAAAATGTAAATACCGTCCAACTTGTGTAAGACAGCCATCCGTTGTTGAGGTGCAGGGTGAGTGGGAAGGATCTGGGAATTTCACTGAAATCCGGTGCTTCCAAACTTCCCTGTTTTGGAGAATTGTTGAGTAGAAAATTGGCATTCCTGTACAGGACATAGTGTAAAAATATCTACAACTGAGGGAAATGGGAAGTGGCAATTTGTACAGAAGAGTTGTCCTGTACAGGCGGCCGTTAGAGCTGGTTTGACTGTTGTTTGTTGTTTTGTTCTCAAGGTTTTTGTTTGTGAAGTTTTTTGTTTGGTTTCGTCCCGGAGTTGTTGAAGATTGGTTGTCTGTTCCCCTTGCTGTGGGTAGTGGAGAGGAAGTTGTTTGTCTGTTCCCCTTGCTGTGGGTAGTGGAGAGGAAGTTGTTTGTCTGTTCCCCTTGCTGTGGGTAGTGGAGAAGAAGTTGTTGTGTGGAGATGTGTGAAGGTGGCTGTTGTTTGCTCACAGGACGAGACCACGTGTGTCGCTTCATCGGCTGTGGCCGCAACGAGCGCTACAACTATGTGGTCATGTCCCTGCAAGGGAAAAACCTGGCAGAACTACGCCGCAGCCAGACCAGAGGATGTTTTTCCCTGAGCACCACACTCCGCCTGGCGTCTCAGATACTGCGGGCCATAGAGGCCATACACGATGTGGGATTTCTGCACAGAGATATCAAACCGGTATGTTATGGGGATTAGTTCTGAGACTCTGATATTTGTGAGAGTTTTGTGGGAATATTTTCTATAAGATGTCTCTGTGAGCCCTCATTGGGTGGTAGAAAATTGTGCAATGTACCAGACTAGCGACTGATAGAAAATTGTGCATTGTACCAGACTAGCGACTGATAGAAAATTGTGCATTGTACCAGACTAGCGACTGATAGAAAATTGTGCATTGTACCAGACTAGCGACTGATAGAAAATTGTGCAATGTACCAGACTAGCGACTGATAGAAAATTGTGCAATGTACCAGACTAGCGACTGATAGAAAATTGTGCAATGTACCAGACTAGCGACTTATAGAAAATTGTGCAATGTACCAGACTAGCGACTGATAGAAAATTGTGCAATGTACCAGACTAGCGACTGATAGAAAATTGTGCATTGTACCAGACTAGCGACTTATAGAAAATTGTGCAATGTACCAGACTAGCGACTGATAGAAAATTGTGCAATGTACCAGACTAGCGACTGATAGAAAATTGTGCAATGTACCAGACTAGCGACAAAGCTGTAGGAATGGCTGTGAACCCTCATGCTATAATAATGTCATTCTGGGAGTCCGTGGTTGCTGAGGTAGGTGATGGTGTTTGGTTTTGAGACTTACTTGACCTTTGTTGGGAAATATTTAGGTAGAATCTTATGCTGACTTTAGTAGGGCCCTGTTTGGTGTACTGCATGTTGTGCCTTATGTCTGGCCTCTATGGTGCTTCTCTTTGTTCTTTCCCTAAGTAGTCAGGTCTAGGAGTGTTAGAAACAGCATCGGTGGAACTGAGTTATGACGTTGTCATGTCCAATATGTCATCAGTGGACCATGCTTTTATTGAGTGGCTGGTTGGCCTGTGCTCCTTTCTTTTCATACGTCCATCCTTCTTATCTCTCCTTCATTATTTTAGTAAGAGTTTCACGGCACTTACAACACAATAAGGTCATTTTCTGTCTTTTTTGTGTTTTGTTGACTCTCTTCTAACACCTCAAATCTTCGGCACTTGTATGACCTTATTGTGTTGCAAGTGACGTCTGACAAAAACGTTTAAATGTTTTTTGGTGCACCTGAGATAATGTTTGTCGTTTTGGTTTTTTCCCCCAGTCAAATTTTGCCATGGGTCGACAACCGAACCACCGCCATGTGTACATGTTGGACTTTGGCCTGGCCCGCCAGTACACCACGGCCTCGGGAGAAGTGCGACAGCCCCGCTCGGCCGCAGGTTTCCGAGGCACCGTTCGTTACGCTTCCATCAATGCACACAAGAACAAGGTTTGTACAAGGGCCCAGTGTTCCTGGCCCGGCAGCCATGTTTTGTCATGATATTTCTCGTTGATGTTACTGGCTTGTTGCGTGGTCATGGAAGCGCAGGCGCGTTGTCTTGTGGCAGGATGAGGCGGCAGTTGTCTTGTGTTGAGGATGAGGCGGCGGTTGTCTTGTGTTGAGGATGAGGCGGCGGTTGTCTTGTGGCAGGGTGAGGCAACAGTTGTCTTGTGTTGAGGATGAGGCGACAGTTGTCTTGTGTTGAGGATGAGGTGACAGTTGTCTTGTGGCAGGATGAGGCAACAGTTGTCTTGTGGCAGGATGAGGCGACAGTTGTCTTGTGTTGAGGATGAGGCGACAGTTGTCTTGTGTTGAGGATGAGGCGACAGTTGTCTTGTGGCAGGATGAGGCAACAGTTGTCTTGTGGCAGGATGAGGCAACAGTTGTCTTGTGTTGAGGATGAGGCGACAGTTGTCTTGTGTTGAGGATGAGGCGGCAGTTGTCGTGGGTTCTTTCAGGAGAAAATTGTCGTGGGTTCTTTCAGGAGAAAATGGAAGCCGCCCGGAGACTAGACCTGCATGTTTGCCGACAATCGTCTGAAATCCGACAATCGCGACCCGACCCGCGAGCCGACCGATGCTATCGCTAGGCCCACCTGTATTAGTCGAAGTGCGAGGCCTGGCCGACTGCCAGCGACCCCTTTTTCTCCCGTCGGCTTTGTCAGCACTTTTGTTTTCGTGCCGACTGCCGACGTCGGCGTTTCCGACATAATTGTCGGAACCTGAGTAGAAATATGAATACGAAAAAGTACGACAACCTAAATTATCTACTTTCTGTTTCATGCTCGAGTGGCCATTTTGAATTTCGTTTGTTTACTGATTGTTAAGGTCATGTGGATTCTTTCAAGTCCGACTCACTTGTTCTACTCTAGATTTAGATTTATAGATCACTATAGACCTCAATGGAGGATTCGTATTCCAATTGTATTGCAGTGTCAAACCCTATCATAGGTTGTGCTGTAATATTAATGTTGGTAAAACGCATTTCATCAGGTGCGTGAATTATTTACACAGAAATATAAAGATCTAGAATCTACATCTAATCTAGTAATCTAGACTCAGATGAGTCCCTCTGTCCGGAATCGGATGCGGATTTCTCTTTCAAGACCCATTCCTATTCACTTATTTTACGAGATTCTAGGTCTAGATCTAGATTTATTTAGATCACTAGATCTATAATAACTAGATAAATATGTGACTGGTGGCATAAACTGAGGTTGTTTGTGTGACTGGTGGCATAAACTGAGGTTGTTTGTGTGACTGGTGGCATAAACGGAGGTTGTTTGTGTGACTGGTGGCATAAACTGAGGTTGTTTGTGTGACTGGTGGCATAAACTGAGGTTGTTTGTGTGACTGGTGGCATAAACTGAGGTTGTTTGTGTGACTGGTGGCATAAACTGAGGTTGTTTGTGTGACTGGTGGCATAAACTGAGGTTGTTTGTGTGACTGGTGGCATAAACTGAGGTTGTTTGTGTGACTGGTGGCATAAACTCCTGTGTCCGTGCAGGACCTTACCTCCATGTTGGTTTTTCAGACTACAGATGTTGTCAGTGTGCTTAGAAAGCAATAGATTTCTGGGCGAATGCATTTGATTGATGGGGTTGGTTGGAGGGTGCCACCGGTAGGTCCTACATCTTTTCTTTCCCTCTGGTCTGTCTGTCTGTCTGTCTGGCTGGCTTCTTTCCTGCACTATATGACCGTAATTGTGTGGATGTGCTTGTCTTTACTCACACTGGACGTTGATGGATGGATGTGCTTGTCTTAACTCACACTGGACGTTGATGGCTGGCTGGATGGATGGGTGTCCCGTGGCTAACTCTCTGTGTCTTTTTCCAGGAGATGGGTCGACACGATGACCTGTGGTCACTCTTCTACATGGTGGTGGAGTTTGTCTCGGGACAGCTGCCCTGGAGGAAAATCAAAGACAAAGAGCAGGTGAGTCTGTCAGTGAGTCAGGCCGTGCCTGTGAGTGAGTCAGGCCGTGCCTGTGAGTGAGTCAGGCCGTGCCTGTGAGTGAGTCAGTGAGTCAGGCCGTGCCTGTGAGTGAGTCG